GGTTACCAAAACATGAGGAACTCCATGAAAGGGTCCTGGCGTTAGGAAGGTTAAGAACCACTGTTCTAGACTAAGACAGATTAGAAAGCAAGATCCAAAAATGAGTCAATGGAAGCATTACTGTTACCTGTAAGTTAGGCGCCAACTTGATGTCAGCCAACAAATTCTTTACTACACACATAGCTTTGTGTTATGGAACATTTGACCTTTTCCATAGAAAAATGCGTGAACACACTACACATGGAGTCCAAGGACTAAAGTTAAAGAACCTCACCTATACACAAGTGGAGAAGTTATTAAAAGCCACGACCCTGACACTGGTACAGTGCTTTCTATGACTCTGCACAGATGCATCATTAATAGTGTTCATGTGTAGCTCCTGTACCATGGAAAGAATTGGATTATTCATTACCAATTTCACTGGGATTTTATGACTATCCATTGTTGTTAGATGCCATTGAGTGGCTTCCAAGTCAGAGTGACCCTACGTACAGAAGAACAAGACACTGCCGGTCCTGGGCCATCCTCACAATTGCTGTTATGTCTGAGCCCATTGTTGCAGCCACTGTATGAATGCACCTTGTGGAGGAGCTTCTTTTTTGCTGCCCCTTTACTTTGCCAAGCATGAAGCCCATCTCCAGGGACTGGTCTCCCCTCGTAACATGTCCAAGGTACTTGAGATGAAGTATCACCACTCTTGTCTCTAAGGAGCATTCTGGCTGTACTTCTTCCAAAACAGATTGGCTGGTTCTTTTGCTAGTCCATGACACTTTGAATATTCTTTTCATGCACCAGAATTCAAACGCATATCACTCCTTCTTTGGGCTTCCTTATTCTACGTCCAATTTTCACATGCATAGGAAGCACTTGGAAATACCTGGTTTGGACCAGGCATATCTTAGTCCTCAAAGTAGCATCCTTGCTTTTCGATGCTCTAAAGAGGTCTCGTGTAGCAAAATTATCCAACACAAGCCATCCCTTGAGCTCTTGGTTGTTGCTTCCATGAGCACTGGCTGTTGCTCCAAGCAAGACAAAATCCTTGACAACTTAATTTTTTCATTGCTTTTCATGATGTTATCTATCGGTCTAGTTGTGAGGTTTTTGCTTGTCTTTATACTGAGCCACCGTAATGAAGGCTGCACTCTTTGATCTTCATCAGCAAGTGCTTGAAGTCCTCACTTTCAGCTAGCAAGGTGTGTCATCTGCATAGTGCAGGTTTTAAAACGCCTTCATCCAGTCCTGATGCTTCATTCTTCGTTGCATCTAGTTTCTCTTTTTGGTCAGCATACAGATTGACTGTGAGGAGAGGATATCACCCTGATGTACATGTTCTCTGATTTTAAACCATCCATTATTCCCATGTCCTCCCATCTATAACATCATGGTAAGTGAAGAAAAGATTGAAGTTGTCAAGGATTTTGTTTGGCCCCGATCCACAATCAATTCTCACGGAAGCAACTGTCAAGTGGTCAAAGTACACCTTGCTTTGGGTAAATCTACTGCACAAACTCTCTGTAGAGTATTGACAAGCATGGATGTTACTTGGAGGTCTAAGGTGTGCCTGATCCTGCAATTTTCCATTGCCTCATACGCCTGTGAAAGTTGGACACTGAATAAGGAAGACCACACAACAGCCTCATAATCCATGTATAGCTACATTAGTACAATGCCGTTGTGCTAATGGAATTCCCGTTCTTCTCAAGGCTACCCCTATCTTGTTTTGACCTATCTAGTCTGTGTGTAGATTATGAAATTACTCATAAAGGAGATTAAACAGAACAGGAACAAGGTTCACTTTTAAATCTTGAGGAGTACTCTCAGTTTGATTAGGTGTGATTTTTGGAGCTCTGTCTACAATTCAGAAACATGCTTTTTACCCTGTTGAGGACTTGTACAATACATGACATTTTCTCTCCCTTTAAGCCTAATAGTCTTCTCTGGCTGGTGTGTGCTTAATTCACTTGTGATATATTATTATCATATTTATCATTGTTTGTCCCTATCGATATTTTAGTTAAGCCATTGATAATACATAATTGTTTGCTTATTTTACAGAAAGATTGTGATGTGGAAAGGGGAACAGATGAGAAACTTGATGAAAACCATCACTTCGATTTAAAGAGTGGATCCCAAGGCCTTCCATGGACCAGAAAGGTCTATGAGTTCTACAGTGCTCCGATTGTCAAGTTTTGGTTTTATACGGTTGGTCTTATTTAAATATGGTATCAATGGCAGTTAATTGAAATGTTGATGTTGGTAATAATATGATTGACTTGACAGTGTGCAATAAAACCATTAGAAGTGCAGTAAAAAAATCTTGAGGGAGTGTGTTAGACAGGGTTCTCTAGAGAGATAAAACCAAATTGCTGATAATTTAATATATTTATTTATAAAGATAATTAGATATATAATGAGAAATGGACTGTTAAATCATATACAGATAAATATATAATACAAGAAATAAACAGTTAAATTAGAAAGCACTACAAATGGCTCAGTGCAACTCACGTCCGTGAGAGAAAGTTGAGAGACTAGCAGTCCTTCCAGTCTAGTCTGCTGCCAGATCTTCCTCTATTTGTAGAGAGAGCTAGGCTATGTCAGCACAGCAGCCTATCACAAGGCAGGTCACCAACCGCCAGTCCCCAGCTCCAGAGATGTCTTAAAGGGACCTCAACTTACAGCGACACAGTCCACAGGCTAGGCATTCCACAGGTAGTATAGCCTTTAAATTGAGGCACAGAACAAGCAAGGCAGCCGCACTGGTCCGATGATCACAGAGCGAGAGACAAGAAAGGCAAGGCTCACCAAGCCATTTATCTCTCTGCCCTTCAGTTAATCCCACTTGTGTTTATCAGCCAGGCTGGCACAAAAAACTATCTCAAGGAGGATGAGAAAGGACGTAGGAAAGATGATCCGGTAGGAAGAGAGTTTAGAACAGGAATCTGCGACATTGGAAGTGAAAGACCCAGCATTCTCTTCTCTCGGGATGTTTCGAGTGCGCCCAGCTGAGACTTGACATTGGAAGCTCTGTGGAGCAATAACAAGTATCTGAGGATTAAGTGATACATATATGAATTCATTTTTCAGCTTGGGCATGAAAATCAGTAGCGGAATCAACTTTTTATTGCTGTAGGAATAGTGTGTCATATAGATTAAAAGGCTAATGTTTGCTATGTTATAGGATATGCTTAAATAGGGTATGCTTATAAACACAGGGCACAAAATATTGAGAAGGCTCATGGTATAAACAAATACATACTGATTGTGCGTAGCGGAGATACAGGGAAACATGGGCTGTGCTTAAACTGTCTTAGGTGAGTTTCACATTCATTGAAGGAGACCTCGTGTCACTGAGCTACACTTAAATTGCTCATGGCCAAGAGTTTGTGCTTCTAAAACATCTGAAAAGTGACTATAAAAGGGTCTTTATCTAAATATGTTCTCCAAAAACATCTACTTGGCCACTTATATATTTATTTTCGTACTCTGATGAAATAAGTGCATAGCTCTGAATAACAAAATGTATTCCCTTAAATCAGATCTAATTTCATATGACTGGGTTTAATGGCTTTTAGAAACATGCCACCAAATATCCAGAGACCCTGATAGTAGCTCCAAAAGAATTTTAACTATGCCCCATCACTGAGGAAAAAATACTTAAATGTTGATTTCCTCAGAAATCTAAAGCTAGTGCATTTTTAGAGAGGGGAGCAAAGCTGAGCAGTAGAGTGAAGCCAGCCAGACCTCCTCCCACCCCCAGCAGATGGTTTCAGCAGTGATGGAGGAGGGCATTTAGTCTCACTGTTAGAGAATAGCATACGTGCTTTAGTGTCTTGTCATGAGTGCGTTAATGATAGAGAAGCAAAAATATAAACATTTCTGCATCAAACATTTAAGAATTGGAAAGGAGCAAAGAAACAAAAGCAAGAACAGCTATCTCTAGTGTTGGTGTGAAGCTTGATTTTACCTAGATATGAACAGCTCGTGACACCCTGGATATGCATTGGACTGTAGTCCACGAGATTAGCAGGCTGGAACCATCAGCCACTCCTCAGGAGAAAGACAGGGGCTTTCTACTCCTGTGAAGAGTTACCGTCTCAGAAGCTTCCAGCAGCGATTCTACCCTGTCCTCTAGAGCTGCTGTGAATCGATATTCCTGACACAGCGAGTTTGGTTTGCTTTGAATGAACAAATAGGTTTGCTTGTAGCCTTGCTGTTAAGTTGAATTTGATTCATAATAACCCTATCAGACAGAGTGGAATATCCCCTCTCTGTAATCTTTCTAAGACTGTAATCTTTAAGGAAGCAGTTTCCACATTTTCCTCCCCAGATTGACATCAAACAGACTTTAGTAACCCAACTTTTCAAAGTAAAGGATTTGCTTGTTTATCAAGATTATTGTTTATTGCATGTTTTTGGTCTCTTGCTTAGAAATGTATTCCATTTATACAATTATACATTAAGAAGAAAGCATTATGGACAAACTGTATATAAGGTTTAAGCCATTCAGTAGTTATCAGTGAGCATCTTCTTTAAGACGTAGGATTCTGTGCTAGTGCGATGGGAAGCAAAGATGGTCAGACACAGTTTCTGTCTTTTATCGGTTTATGGTCTGGGAAGGGAAAACGTTTCTGTGTATGAATGACTTGAACACAAGACAGGACAAAGTGTAAGTAATGAAATAAGGACAGACCAGTGGATGCAGGTCTTTGAGATAGTCCGCGTACTTCAGAGTGCAGGATAAGGAGTCACTTGTATGGCCACCATGAAAGCACAGAAAAATGTAAACGTGGACTGCTTGCTAGAACGAACTTGTTTAAATCACATCTCAAAGAGTTAGTAAAATATTCAGCTTGTGAGATATAGGTCAAGAGCAATGTAGGATTAATGAAATTTACCTTAAGTTTCTTCTTTTCTTTCCTACTGTAGCTTCTTAATTTGTAGGCTGTAATATACTGTGATTGTCTGAAATACCATCTATTACAAGTAATAGCTTTATTATATAATCACAAATGGCTAAAGCCATTCCCTAGGAAATCTATGAATAAGTAAACTTATTAAACATATCAAGAAGTAGACATAGCAAATTTAGATACAGCTCAAAAAGATAGGACAAATAGGGCTAAGATGAAAATAAGATGCTTCTTGTAAGGTGTGTGAAAACACACACACACACACACACACACACACACACACACACCACACCTCTTTACCGATACTGGATTTTTAACACAAATACCACTTACTGAGTCCTTTGTATTGCATGAACCTACATGAAGGGAAGCACCATCTCTTGTGCTATCAGTTATGCGAACTGATACAGCCTTTCTGCAGGCAATTTAGGATTACATGTCACAGTTTTAACAGTGTGCTCCCAGCTATTCTATTTCTGAGACAGTAACTTACAAAGATAAGACAAGATCACAGACTATTAATCACTATGTATATGCAGGAGTGTATTTATTGGGTTTTAATTCCTCAGGAGATTGAAAAATCTAGTTATTATGGGCACAGCTATCTTTATGGAATATCTACATTGTGCCAGACAGAATACTGAGTGCTGAAGATAAACATAACAGCTAACAGCCTTTAATTACAAGGGCCTCACCTTTGGGTAAAACTTTTTTATTAACCAGAATATTTTAATTGGTTTAAAATAAAGTTTCCAGCAGTAGTTACATTTGAAAGTTCACATCTCTTGAGACTGCTCATTTGGTGTCTTGGCAAAGGTGTTTTCTGTGTTTAAACTGGAGACAAAGGCATGTGAGTCCTCCTGGATTTATGGTTAGCCCAACATGGGCATTCTGGTCAGCAGTCAACAAGCTGAGCCAGGAATCTTCTTTCTTTCCATGAAATTCTAGACTAGACATCCACACTTTCCTTGGATTTCCTTGGTCGTTGATCTTCTACAATCAGAAGATAAACTAATTACCCTTTCATGTCATTGTATCGGAGTGCATGAGTGTGCTTCTGCTTAGATTGGTGTGTGCTTGGCATTCTCCTGGCGCCTCTCATTCATACCCAGGGCCTGTGTGTGTGTCCCCCTTCCCCTCATAGATGGCTTATTTGGCATTCCTCATGCTGTTCACTTACACTGTGCTGGTAGAGATGAAGCCCCAGCCCTGCATGCAAGAGTGGCTTGTTATCATTTACATCTTCACCAATGCCATTGAGAAAGTCAGGGAGGTGAGTTGACCCTGGATGGAAATCAACAGGTCTAGGGGGGTTGAGGGTGGGGGTGGGGGAAGACTGGAAGTGCTGCTCCTGATTCGTATGGTCACGTGGTAAGTGACTGTGGTGTTGACTCTGGTTTACGATGATACCAAGTATAAAAATGGAATTGCCGCCTGGTGCTGCTCCATCTTCACCATCACCGGTATGCTTGACTCCACTGCATGATACAGTATTCTGGGGGAAGTAGCCTTTGTTCTTGCCAAATACTGTCAGGGGGTGGCTCTTCTTTAGAAGCAGCTATCTTAGAATAACATAGCTGATTAGAAGTTTCTTAATCATCTCCAAAGGAGACATCTTAGTATGCTTATCAAGGCTAATGTGACAGGTTATTATTAATCCTTCCAACCATTTAATTTTCCAGAAGAGTTTTTTTTTTTTTATGGGATTGATTTTTATAGCTTAGCATTAATGTATTATGAGTTTCATTTTACAAAGTGGCACACAAATAGACAACATTGTGCAACATATAAAATGTTCATTTACAGCTATTGAAATATTCTACTTTTGAAAATTGAAACAGAAAATGCCTTTAAGGCAAGTCATCTGAAACACAAAACAAAATTCTCATTTCTCATTTGCAATGAATCTCTTTAAAAAAGAGAGATTAGCATTCCCAGGCAGTAAAATCTGTAACTGCATACAATTATTATTTAAACTGCTTTAGATGTGAATATAGATGTGTCTTTTGTATCTATGTGCTTATATACATTTATCATGTCTCAGAGCTAACATGACGCATTATATATGAAGTAGACATATTCTTACCATTTTAACGATATTGCCTACTATTTACTAGTATGGCCTTTACAGATTAGAGAAAACAGTTAAGGAGAAAATTGTTATCTGAATTTTCCCATTTCTTAATGCTTCAGAGAAAACAAGTTTACTTATTTTACCTTTTAGTTTGTCTGATATTCTTTCACGGGTAATTTCCTACAACAGTAGGCTCAATATCCTTTCGTCGTAATTTGTCGGCAGTCCACTGGATAGCAACACTGGGGCTAGAGCTTAGCGCTCTTTAGTTTCCATCTTTGTTGCTGCTCTGCCTCTGGAAACGGAACCTAGTGGCTTCCTTGCAATCTCTAAGGTTAGAAATGTCTTCCTGGTTCCGTTGTCGTTTAAGACTAATTAAAGGTAGAAAAATTACATTTTGTTTTGTCGATTTCTTTGTGTTTTGGGTTGTGTTTTTCCGTGGCTGGCTGGCATTCATGATGTCGTTAATATACATTGATAAAGCCCACTGGCCATCAAGTTGATTCTGGCCCATCATTACCCTGGAGGGTAGAGAAGAACCCGCCCCTTAAGGCTGTGATCTTTCTGGATGCAGACTGCCACATCTTGCTAATGCAAAGCCAGTGCTGCTTTCAAATAGCCACCCTTGCAGTTGACAGCCTAGAGCTGTAACCCTGACACCCCCGAATTGTTTAGATAGTTCACTACCTGGGGATACCAAAGCCTCTGGAAACTCCATGTGATCTAAGGACTGGCAGAATTGAAATGACTCCTTGGGTGAGAGGATAATACTAGAGAAAACAATAATATTGCTGAGATGCTAACGTTATGCCCCTTCACATTTCCCTCTTTCTTCTTTTAGGTCTGTATTTCAGAGCCTGGGAAGTTTACTCAAAAGGTGAAAGTCTGGATAAGTGAGTACTGGAACCTGATGGAAACCCTGGCTATTGTCCTGTTTTTAGTGGGTTTTGGCCTTCGCTGGGGTGATGGTCCTCGCCACACAGCAGGAAGACTTATCTACTGCATCGACATCATCTTCTGGTACACAAAGCTTCTGGACTTCTTTGCTGTGAATCAGCATGCAGGCCCATATCTGACCATGATTGCAAAAATGGTGCGTGCTCCCTGATTTAATATTTAAGGTTCTTGATAATGAACATCCAATAGGTGGACATTTGAAATTATTTGTGGAAACAGTCAGGAGATCCTCTTACCAGTACTTTTCTTGGAACCACAAATTAATGTTATAAATGGATATCCTTACAGAATGTATTGGGTAGTTGATCAGTGCACTCAGTCTGCCTCAGGGTCAGGGATTCATGCAGAGTGGTAGAAGGCTTCTCTTCTGTGCTTATGACCTGAGTTCTAATCCTGGCCAATGTGCCTCAAGTGAAGGTACCATCTGTCTCTCGGTGGAGCTTGTGTGTGGCTGTGATGATGAAGAGATTCCCGTGTCGCTTTCAGACTAAGGCTGTGTTAGTCTGCCTTCAGAGAAACCAATCCACAGAAACTCATGTATGAGAGAGTTTAATATAACGGTTAAGTGCACATCAAGAAAACATCCCAACCCAGTGCTGCGCAAGCCCACAAGTGCAACAGTGCAACATTAACCCATATGTCTGACACCAATCCACAAAGTCCTCCTCCATCTCACAAAACACACACTATAATGCTGACTGTAGGAGGAAAGCCGAATCAGTGAGCGATAAGCATCTCGGCGCTGGCAGGGGTCTCCACACGTCTGCTCCAGCACCCAGGGCTGCACTGGGGTAGGTCCATGCAGCTTCTCCTCGGGGACATCTTGCAGGAAGTGAGCCTTGCCAGCTGAAGCAGGGAACTGGCTAAGGCAGCTGCACCCTAGTCTGACCATCAGAAAGCAAGAGACCAGAGAGCTAGAAAGGTGAGGCTCACCGAGCCATTTATCCCTCTGCCCTTCAATTAACCCCACATGTGTTTCTTGGCCAGGTTGGCACAATAAACAGTAACTATCTCAAAGGCAGACCAGGATCTGCTTCTGAAGAAAAGGAGTGAACGAAACCTCACGGATCCCAGCCGCTCAACCCTGTTATATTCCCAAGGGCCAGATGTGTGCCCTGACGCCACATTCCAAGGATGACACGGACAAAGGGATATCATTGCTGACTTGAGATGGATCTTGGCTGAAAACAAGAATACCAGCATATTTCATTGACTGAAAGGCAATGTGTGGATCCTGACAATCTATGGGAACGTTGTGTTGAACGGGAACACCTCATGGTGCGTCCCTGGCACTTTTCCAGAGGGCAACCGTCGAAACAGAGCAGGCGTCATGCGTGGTTTACCACCAGGAAGGCTGGGTGTCGGGGTTGCATGCTTTCATGATACTTACTCCATCTGGATGGTGAGCACACCACCAGAGAAGGAGGACCAGATGGGAAGAATGTGGCATCCAGACGGAAGGCAGACGCATCAGCACCCTGTAAGATGCAGAGAACACAACCTTGCTTGCTGGAAGGGAAGAGGACTTGACACTTTGACTCATGAAGATCAAAGAATACAGCCTTAAGTCTGGATTACACATACTTAATGTAAAGAAAACCAAAATTTCCATCACTTGGCCAATAGACAACATGATAAACAGAGCCAAGCTAGACGTTATCAAGGATTTCATTTTACTTGAATCTAAAATCAACACCCCCTAAGATCAGCAATCACACAGTGTGTTGCACCTGACAAATCTGTGGCACAAGATCTCTGACAAGTGTTCAAAAGCAAAAATGTCGCTGAGGACTGAAGTACAGCAGACTGAATTCATGGCGTTTACAGACCAGGATATTTCTCAAGCACCACATGGACAGGCTGAAGTGGCAGTTGTTGTTCAGTTCGATTGCTGTATTTTAATCGTGGCTCTAGCAGAGAATGCTGAGAGGGCCATGGGCTGCCAGCCACCAGAACAAACAAGTATGTCTCGGAGGAAGTGCAACAGAATGTGCCTGAGAGGCAAGGAGGCCAGACTCTGTCTCACCTACTTCGGACCTGCCATAAAGAAAGACCAGTCATGGAGACAGGACCTCGTGCTTGGCAAATTAGAACAGGAAGGTGCTCAGAGAGATATTGACACAGTGGCTGCAGGGACGCAAACATAACCAACGAGAGGATGGCCCAGGACGGGCAGTGTTTCTTTCCTTGCACACAGGCGCACTTTGAGTCAGACATGATTGCATGGCACCTAACAGCAACAAGAATACTCTATCTACCTTTTGCACACAAGAAAAAGGCCGAGTACATTTCCAAAGGCACAGAGAGAGAGATTATTGTTTAGATCTTGGCTGCCGCCAGGCTTCAATCTGTTCCCTGAGATCCCTGGCATCTTGTCAGCTCTCTCCCTCTGGCCTTGCATGAGGGTCTAAGATCTGTGCTCGAAGTGCAGCGTCTCAAGGTCACCCATGGCTTTCCCTTCTAGAGCACTCACCAAGCTCTTAAAAACGAGAGGCAGTGCGAACACGAAGGGGGCGGAGAGTGAGGGAGATGAGAACCCCAGGATCCTACAGACAGACGTTCTCACTCCACACCTTTCTCCTGGTCTCGGTGACATTTGTTAGATGGTGTGTGCTGACGTCACCAGTCCTCCTCAGTTACTTTCACAGTGTTCTTTCTCCGCATACCGAGTTTGGGGCGAGCTCCACAGTGACTCTTTAGCAGCAGACCAGCGCTATTTGATGGATTTGAACTGCCCACCTTGTAGTTAATAGTCTAGTGGTTAACTCTTTACACACCACACAGGGCCTCCTTCACAGCCACTTAAGGACCTGGCATCCGTTCACATTGTCAACTCCATGTCAGCATGTGAATTTCAAGCTTTCCTAGGGCAGAACCTCAGAAAGCTCAAGGAAGCAGAGTGACAGAAATCACTGCTATGTCATCAGTCCATTTGCTGAGGTCACGTGGCCCCAGCCTAAGGAAAGGGAAGGCGAGAAATGCAGAGAAGCTAATTAAATAGTTTTACATGTCAACCACCTGGTACGATTCCCCGTGCGTTGTGCTATTTTGCAGGCAGCAAACATGTTCTACATCGTGATCATGATGGCCATAGTCTTGCTGAGCTTCGGCGTGGCACGTAAGGCCATTCTTTCCCCGAAGGAGCCTCCATCGTGGAAGCTAGCTCGAGATATTGTATTTGAGCCGTACTGGATGATATATGGAGAAGTGTATGCTGCGGATATAGATGGTGTGTATGGGGTTTGCCGGGGGCACCGGTGGTTTGGTGGTAGAATTCTCACCTTTCAGGCTGGAGACCAGGGTTCCATCACCACCCGGTGCCTGTCAAGCACACTCATCTCAGTGGGGGCTTGTGTGTTGCCATAAAAAGGCTGGTGTCAATCAGCCAGTGTTAGCTTGATCCTCTGTGTGGCCTTGCGTTGGGGGGGAGGGGCACATGATGGCAGCTAACAACAATGACAGCAACATGGGATTTTCTATTACGTAGAAATTGATTGTTTGTAGATCTGTAAATTTTTTTAAATCTGGAAAATAATAATCTGAATATTAGAAATGTCAAATATGAGGGTAAGTCCAAGAGTATTGCAACAACAAGGATTAAACCAGCTGTTAAACAAAAATATCAAAATGGAAAGCTATCATTTATCCCACATATAGGTCGATGCACTTTTAAAGCAGTGGTTCCCTTGTGCTATCCCTTCTCCGGAAAATGCTATGCTCCTTGATTTACACCAAGAGCTTTGAGAACAAAAAGAAGCCTGGTCAGGACTACAGGGTGGATGGAGCAAGCTTTCCTAACACAATCCTAGCAGGACAGCCTTGCCGCCCTAGAAGCAGGAGCAGGTGTACAGTGATGGGAAATGTTCCTGGTCTTTTTCCCAGTTCCCTTAACATTCCGTAACAAGCCCCCTTATCATCCTGTGCCCTTGAGACAATCCAGAAAGGTGACTCCTGTGAGTTCCGGAAACAACGACCACAGGCAGCAGTCTCCACAACCCACTGCGCTGACCTCTCTGCCTTGGATGTGAGTGCCCAGCAGATGCCTGGGAGCCTGTTTTGACGGGGCCTCTTTTGAAGGCACCCTGGTAGGAGGACAAGGGCATTACTGAGCGAACTCACCTACAACCTCCCACTGCTTGTGGAGACGTGCTCGAACGTGTGCTGTCTGGAGTAAGCTTGTGCACGTACGAAGTAGAACGATAGTAGCAATTCTCTTGGACTCAGCCTCATGTTTTTAGTATTCTGCAAACGTGATGTGTTAAAGATTTGTCCAGAGGCATCTGACTGTAATTTATTTTATCTTTCTTTCTTAATTTATTATGTTCCTGTCGACAGTTTGTGAGAACAACGCCTCGTGCCTTCCTGGTTCTTTCCTGACCCCGTTCCTTCAGGCCGTCTACCTCTTCGTGCAGTATATCATCATGGTGAACCTGCTCATTGCCTTCTTCAAGTAGGTGATTTTCTTTAACTCCAAAGGCGGACAGGCATTGGGGTAGACTTATCTGTCTTGTGAGAAGGCAGCCTTCTGTTTTTGTGTGGTCCGTGTTTTATCACGATGCTTTAAAATATGAGCATGCAAATATGTGTCGGAATGAAGCAAAGAATGGAAAGAGAAAAATCAGTGAATGGAGAGAAATAGTAGAGACAGAATAAAAGAAGACCATGAGGCGTAATTAAGCAATCACGGAGCAGCGTAGGAGACTCACTGTAGTTGATAGAAGCCAAAGGTGTCTAAGGAGTTCTGGGTAGATGCTCTTGACTTGACCATCGATATGTCATTCTGTTTCTTCTATCATTTTTCACATCATCTCCTTCATGGGTTGACATCTTCTTCCCAGCCTTCTAACCCTGGGTGTTCTTGGGCGCTGAATTTTCCCTTCTTCTACCTGGACTTTTCTGGAGGTCTTGTTCCTGGAGCTTCCTATAGGAGTGTATGCTGCTGGCCACACCCAGTTTGCATCTCCAGACAGAACTTTCTGAAGCTCCTGTCAGTCGTACAGGTGCATGTGGCCTGTGCACATGTAGTTAAACGTGCAGCAGATTGTCAAATTTAAATGTTCCAAGCAAGATTCTTGATAGCTTTAATTTTCCTATTTTGACTGGTAATCTTTTAAAAACTTATGAGGAAGACCATGACAGTTGTGTTTTTTTTGGCAATTCCATCTTCCGGTTGTTCAGACCAAAAGTCTTGGCGTCATTCGTGAAGCTTCTTTACACCTTTACCTGTAACCTGTCAGCAGCTCCATCAATCCAGCTACCCCTAACAATTCACTACTATGAACCTTCTGGCTTATTTCCATGCTTCTGCCTTTGGCCCCTATTCTAACCTTAACATAATCATTAGAATTACCCTTGAAAACTTATGTCAGGTCATGTGACACCCAGGCTCCATACTCTCTCATGGCTGCCTGTTTCCCTTTGGGCAACAAAAACAGTCAAGGTTTCCAGAGAGACGATAGGACCTGATTTAGCTTCACTGCTACTGCTCAATCACGCAGCATACGATTCTCCCTCTCGTTTAGTCCTCCACACCACACTAGTCCTTGCAAGTTTTCAAACAAAACAGATGCATTGGTACTTGATGTTTCCTTTGCCCGGAATATTCCCCCCTCGATATGAATTTGGCTCATCCTCTCATCTCCATCAAGTCTTTGCTCAGATGCCCTCTTTTAAATTTTCTTTTATCTAAGAGTGTGTGTGTGTGCGTGTTATGCTGAAGAGAAGCAGGCTCTTTATTGGGGCACTTGTCACAACCACACAAGTCAACAGCCCCTTCTTGCCCTCTGCCCCCTTGCTTTTCCTAGTGCTAATGGGAGGGGCTGCTCACAGAGGTGTGAGCAGGACCAGGGCTGCTCTATGATCCAAGGCCACAGGGATGGAGTTGGGACTCTAGGCCTGGGGAGACGGGGGTGGGGGTGGGGTGGGGTGGGGTGGTGGTGTTGGTGTTGCTGCTCGCTGGGTGTAGAGTGTGGATGAGGTGGGCAACCTAGGAAGGGGGCTACACAGTGTAGGGTAGGGTAGGGGAGAAGGCCAGTCAAGGGGAAGAATTCAGAGCATGGATCTGCAAAGGTGGGAGGAGGCCAGGCACTCTCCTCCCTAGCCTCACCCCCCTCAAGTAGGGAGCCACCTTAAGATAGGGCAGGAAGC